AAATCCAGTGGTAATTCTCAGTCCTCAAGGGCAGCGTTTATCCCAGCTGATCACTCCCTCCTCCTTCACACACCTGGATCCTTTTCCCACCTCCCAGGTTCCTCTACCCACCTCTAAACTGGCGGGCTCCCCTGCACAGTCTACAAACCTACCTGCTCAGGTGCCCATTTGGCAACTCAAGCTTAACCTGGGCCAAAATGGCGCTCCTGGTCGTCTCTACCCCACAAACCTGCTGCTATCCTATCCGACTTTCCATCTTCAAAAAGGACTTTGTCCTTGGGCTTCCCTGGTGGCACAGTGGTTAAGAATACGCCTGCCAATACAGGGGACACAGGTTCGAGCCCTGTTCGGGGAAGATCCCACATGTCGCGGAGCAACTAAGCCCGTGCACTACAAACACTGAGCCTGTGCTCTAGAGCCCGTGTGCCACAACTACTGAGCCTGCATGCCACAACTACTGAGCCCACGCACCTAGAGCCCGTGCTCCGCAACAAGAGAAGCCACTGCAACGAGAAGCCTGCACACCGCAACGAAGAGTAGCCCCTGCTCGCCGCAACTAGAGAAAGCTCGCACGCAGCAACAAAGACCCAACTCAGCAAAAAGTAAATAAATAAATTTATTTAAAAAAAATAATAAATATGTTAAAAAAAATGCTCTCCATGGAGGCAGAGGCATAGCTGAGGACCACCGGGAACGGTGATTCTAGAAGGGACCTAAACAAAGCATCCCAGGACCTTGCTCTCTGTTCTGGTTTGAGCCAAAAGCAAAGTACAGAAAGTCAATAGATATTTGTTAGGGCTGCTGTGCATGAGGGCTAGTGCTACAGTGAGGGGGACCAACAGTAAATGGGGAAACAGATACAGATCACCTCAGGCACTGCTGCTGAGAAAGGGCACATGCATAATGTGATAGCAAGTGAGTGAGAACTGCTCCTCTGGCCAAGGCGGTCAGGGACAGCCTGGCTCAGAAGGTGAGAGCGGAGGTGAGCACTAAGGGTCGAGAAGGCTGGAGGCCCAAGGTCCAGGAGCGCACATCTGTGGACAGATGGCTGATAGAGGCCTGGCTCACGGCCCATCCCAGACCTAGGTCAGCTGGTCAGCCTGGCTGTTCCAGCCCCAGGTCCTCAGGGAAGGGTGCAAGGGAGGCCGGCTGTGGGCCAGGGACCCCCTCACCCCATCACAGAGAGCTTCTCCTAGTGACTTGAGAGGATCCAAGCAGCTACAGCAGAAGGAGACCCTCACCCACCAACCTAAGGGTAGGCTCCAGGTTAGGGGCAAGGCCAGGAGAGCCTTTCATACCCCCGTCCTCCCGCCTGCCCTGACCATTACCCTGGATGAGGCTGCGAGGCTGCCAGCGACACTGTCTCATCTCAGATGAGGAGCGGGCCTCTTGCCA